GTAACAAGTGCCTTACTAGTAGTAACAAGAAGCTATTAGGAACAAGTCGGTCAGGTTTTATCCTGGGATCCACCGGAAGAACTCCTGCGTGTGCACGTCTATGTGGCGTACCTAGCCATCGGAGACCGCGGGCAGCACCTTAGCTGATGCAACACAACTTATATTCAAAGCAAAAGAGCACAAACACAGTCCATACTGTTTTTGGACACTTGGAATCATACTGTACACAATACTGTTCGTCATTTTTCCTTTTTGCAACATGGTCACCAGGAACCGTTCACAGATTGGATCTGATGTTCCGGTGGGCACAGATCAGCTGGACATCCCACCAGAGACGCCACGGCTGTCGTTCTCTCATTTCGCTGCTTGGAAGAAATATGGAACTTGTTTTCCTTTCTAGAAAGAGTGCTAATATGCGGTATAAATGACTCGATATATAATATTCTTTTCAGGGGGGTAAGCGAAGAAGCTACTAGTACCCGTAGCTCGTAGTAAGGGGTAAGTAGTAGCTTAAGTAGCTACTTGCTTAGACACGGAAGAGCTCTTACATGATTGATTTGGTTCCTAGTTGCTCTTTTCTTTTGAAGCTTCTTATTTTTATCTTTCCATTCTGCACAGTAGAGTCTTAGAGGTTTTGTATGTTTCTGCCTTTAGTCAGCATGGTCGGTTTAGTTCATGATGCAATGAGCCCACAAGTTTCTACGAAGTGTTGTCTGAACTGAGGTCCTCTACACGAAGTCCACCTTGGTGGAACAGAGCACCCCCCACCAGCTTGCTAATACAGGAGCAGATCCCAGACTCCCCCAATCCCAGCATGCCCTCCCTTCCCTCTCTTTCATGATGCCCAACCAAAATTATAGGATTTCATTTTCACTCTTCTAGCGCGGAGAAATAATGCAATCCCTGCCTCGCTTGTCAGAGGTTTCGTTGTCAGGTTGTGATCATAAGGAAGAAAGTTACTGACTGGACATGAGAAGCACAACTCTATGACACACACACACAATCACACAACAATGCACAATTTCAGTGGAATGTACTCAAGAACAGTTGGATCCAGGATGCAGTGGCCTCCTCATCCAACGTGACCTTCAAGGACAAGGACTTGGATCAGTGGCAGGCACCCAATGTGACAAGCTGCAGTGGATTTGACATGTCAAGAGCAGGTCTTATCACGGGTCAGGGATTGATGTATTTTTGATGAATTCAACAAATGGCCGGGGTTAAATGCATGGCAAGGCTGCATTCCCTGAAGAAAAGACGTGTGTGGATACTAAACAAAAATACACAAATACATTGCCGTCGAGGTTTGCTGCTTGTTCCTCGCATGTTTTCAAAAGAAGCAATGCTTAAAGCGTTTGAAGTGTTTCTCAACTGGGATTTTGCAGAGAGTGATTTACCCTTCTGTTTGCAATGGAATAGACTCAGCAAGTGAATGTGCACTTCTTTCCCTTTTGTCGGGCGGACACTTTGAAGAAGATTCATGTCGCTTCAAATTGCTTGATAGCAACTGATAGATCACGCACATGCTGTGCAGGTGGCAGGCAACATCACTTGGGTCGAGGCGGATGATACTTCAGCCGCTTGTTGAAATCATCAGGGAATTCAGGTCCCACAAGGTGGGATCCTTGGGATCGTTTGGGCAGACCTTAGCAGCGCAACCCCCTCTTGACCAAAGGGCATGTTATTTTTTTTCAAAAAAAGTTTGGTCTTCAGGTGTTTGAAGGCGTTTGGCCATTGAACATCTGCAGCTGCTGTAAGCATACGCGGTTTGTCAATGCACAGAATAGCTGCATAGCCGCTTAGCCTGTTCTTAACCATCCAGACCGACCAGAAAGCCAGGTGGACCTGAACCTGTGGACCTGTGAGAAACTGTCGACTGCCGCTTTGTTTGAGGATGTCGAGGAGTATTTGATCTACATGGCGGAAGATCGTTTTGGCTCTAACAGGTCCTTGCTTGGCAACTCAGCAGCACCCTGCGACGCGGCTGTAGGTCAAATGGACCTAGCAGCTGCGTAGCTGGCTTGCAGTCACCACACCTCGGAAAGCTCAACGTCGCAACAGAATCCTGAAGACTGAACATCATCTTAAATAACTTAAACCCTTGAACCGAGGAAGCGCAAACCCAGGGAGCACAAGCTTTGCCGTGGAGGACTGAAGCGGTTGAGGTGTACGAAGCCTTTTTTACACTGGCAGCATCTGGCAGCATTTGTCAACTGCTGGCGTACTGACGTAAACCTTTCTGTTCTCATCGTGCTTGACCTTCATCATTTCAATTTGCCAGGACAACACGCCCTTGTTGTCGTTCACGCACTTTGTGGTGTACTCCAGGCCCGGAAGCTTCCATGAAGCGCCATACATTCAAGCAGGGTCAGAATATTTTAGAAGCAAGATGTGGTTCGAGTAAGACAGAAATGAAACCCAAGGGTCAGCATCTTACCGAAATATGCCAAATTAGACTCAGATGTAGTAACAAGTTCATCGCTGCTAGTAACAAGTGCATTACTACTAGTAACAAGAAGCTACTAGTAACAAAGGCATCGCTATTAGTAGCTTCTTGTTACTAGTAGTAATGCACTCATTACTAGTAGCAATCGTATGCCTTAAGCTGAGAGTGTTGTACCTTGTTTCGCCTCAACAGGTCCAGTCTCGTGGAGCAGAGCACTCCTGGAGCCGTGGTGATCATTGATGCATCTTGCCATGGACCACCAAAGGAAACCATACTGCTACTACAGGAGCTCCTAGTAAGCGTCCTTGCTCCTAGTAGAGATGCCCTTTGCTCCTAGTAGCTTCTTGCTCCTACTAGGAAGGCCAGGAGCCCCTAGTAGCGTCCTTGCTCCTAGTACCTTCTTGTTACTCAGAGGATTGAGAAAACCAAGGTCTATCACGGTAAGATAAGCTGTACTCAGTGGCAAGTCGTGACATGCGTCAACAATCTTCAACAGCCGCAATCTGCAAACAGCAGAATATGATTATTAGCATCTCGAGTCCTTTAAGCAAAGCCTTGCTGCTTTTTTTGCTTCCTGTCTGACTCAAGACTTGCATTCTTTCTGCTTTATTGAAGCAAGACCCCATATATAATTGTATATTCTCACTTGACTGACATAGGGGTGAAAGGGAGTGATCGCATGCACATGAAGAAGGAATCAAGCAGTCCTCCGCAAGGTGAGCGCGGCTGTGGAACAGTTATCCTTTGTGGACCTGGATCTTGATGCTTCAGAATTGGGAGGCGAAGTCACTTGGTCTCCACCCACAGTGACTCGGTACAAGCAGAGTGGCTTCAGGCAGGCTCATGCCCCTAATGTCGCCGGTTACATTCTTCACCACATCAGGTTGCTCAGGCATCTTCGCTTACTCGTACTGTAGTTGCCGTCCGCGGCATTGTGAGCAGTTCCCAGCGCAATTGAATTGCATGCGTTTGCGTGGTGGCTGTAAAGGGACAACTTACTGTACCTGAATCGCTCAATTAAATTTGCTGCCGACCTTCTCCATGCCTCACTCCTGCCAGAAGCACATTCGCACATTTCTGCTGAGTCTGGCTTGGAACAAGTGAACGGCTATGGCGTCTACCTCTCTGATGCTGCTTATGTGGCCCGCAGCCAGGTGGGCGACGCATGGGAACTTGTACGTGTTCGTTGACGTGACAAAGTAACCTCAAGTGTTCCAGTGTTCCAACATGTTTGATTCCACTGGATTTTTCATCACTAAAGCCCCTCACCTGGCCAGCCCCTGTGCAGATTGGCATCGTGCCGAAGGGCACTCATGTCAAAGCAGTGCCTGACAGCACAGTTTCTCGGCGATTTAGCAGCTACTAGGGGCTCTTGGCCTTACTACTGGGAGCAAGGACGCTACTAGGGGCTCCTGGCATCGCTACTAGGAGCAAGGACGCTACTAGTAGCTCCTGGCCTTACTACTAGTAACAAGAAGCGACAAAGGGAACTTTAGTCAACGAGGCCACGCCCCTCATCTCGGAGTGCCACTTTGGGATTCCTTTCAAGTTGAGGGTTTCTCTTCCTTGGCATGTTTGCGTAGTGGTTCTATTTGTACTATTTTGTACTGAAAATTACTAACTTCACAAGCTTCACCCCTTCCAGGATTCTCTTACAGATTCTCACTCAGGAGTTGTTTTTTCTTGGGTAGTGGCAATGAAGACAAGAACTTGAGGAAGTATCTCCGACTCCTTACGCATCATGTAGGATCCTAACATATGCTAAGCTAGGGAGCCGAAATGTTCTGAGGCCCGTCAAAGCTTCACCCATGTGCTGGTGTATTCTCGTTCAGATGCTTTCCAGCAAAGCACTCCGGCTGCGACCGCCATCTCTGATGCCTTGGCACAGGCAGACCGGACCAACGCATCGACATCGATTTACAGTACTTCTGTGTGGCGGCAAGAGCACATGGACATACAAAAGGAAGCGCCCGCATCACAAGGAGTCGGTAATGTGTTTAGATAAATGTTTTCAATATGTCAATATGTTTCAATAGTCTAGACTCTAGACTCTAGACTCATCGTTTTTTTGGATTCTAGACATATGACACCTTGGTCAGGTGACCTCCTTGGAGTTTACAGACTTTGACTTGGATGAGACCGAAGTGGGTGGAACGCTGCCACTTGTTAGCAAGAAGTTGGCTTGGGTTGCCGCAATGAATTTGTGGTACTTGTGGTTCCATGGAACATGCATACTGCTTCTCCCTTGCTTGATTAACGAGGCGCCCACTTAGTTATATAGTAGGAGCGGGCAAAAACAAACCACAAAAAAAACGGTATATACATAATTTTGGCAATTCTAGTTTATTTATATGGTTAAAGTTAAACTAAAGGCTTCGCAGTGACAATTGATTGTCCACACCTTTGCGGGTCTCACTTGGGATTCCATTGGATTCTAGATTCTAGCTGATTCCTTAGATGCTTCTAGAAGGTCTGGGTATGAGATAGTTTGACTGGTTATGTTCGTTTGAAGCTTCAAGGAACGGCTTTTGTCTCGCCAGTCTGATGATGAAAAGAAAGAGCTCAGCATGATTCAACTGCATCGCTACTAGTATCTACTAGTAGCTTCTTGCTACTAGTAACGATGGCGATGGCCTCCACCTAGTAGCTTCTAGCTACTATTTCTGTTTAAGCATCTCTGCCACCAAGATGAATCATTGTGTATTGAAGATCTTAAGTCTCGGGGAAATATTATGTTTCATGACTCACAGTGGGAGCTTCCAGTCTTTGCTTGGGATGTATTGTCCGGAGTTTCGTTGTCTGCGACCATTGCTTTGAGGATGTGGCAGGCACCAGAAGATACCACCTATGTGGCCTACTACAATGCATACAAAGCCTACTTCTGCGGCTTGACCTCAAAGCATCCTTGAGGGCTTTCCATGTGGAGTTTGAGCTGCTCAAACGGTTGCATCTTGACAGTATCCCGGTTTCTTGCGCAAGTTGGAAGGCCAAGTGGCTGTCTCTGAGGTAATGACACGAATGACACCAATGCAGCTTGGCATTCAATCTTGCTGTGGGCATTGCGGTTTGCATCAACCTTCTGTTGTATGTTGAATCTTCAACGTCTCTGTCTCTATGCTTTTCTTCGCAAATCAACCACCACCACAGGTTCCAGATGCGTGTGAGCTCTTTTGGGCATGTTTGAGTGAGTTTGCCCAATGGAACCGGCCTTGCACAGGGCGAGCCCATCTATGTGGCTGGCACCTTCAGCTTTTTGATGGAAGCATCTCCTGAACAGGCGCGGCTCACGAAAGCATACCGTGTTGGTTTGGTAGCCAGTTTTCATGTTATATAGGCAAGATAAAGTTGCATGAGTACGTAGAACAGTGCAGGCCAATTTTGACCGGTGTCAGACCATTTATCATCAACATCTTCAGCTTCTCAGCATCAGCTATTTCGTGGGAGGTTTCAAGTGCAGCACGGAGCGCTTTGGCATCAGTATTGGGGGTTGCGCCCGAAACCTTGAGTGTGGAAGCCTAGTGCGTCGCATGTGAATTTGGCTGTTGCAGTATCTTATCAAGCAGAACTGCCTGGTGTTCACGAGGAGAGTGCCTCTGATAGCCTCAGGTGTCACCATCAATCTAGCACGACGACTCAGTTCGTCATCCTTCCAGACCAATTTCATTGTCCACTATGACCTGCGCTCAGCATTTGCGCATCCGAATCTCACGAGTTGGGTGGTAAACAATGCTGACGCAGGGGATTTATCTCGCAAACCGCAAGCTCAACATGGCAGTTGTTGATAGTTGTTCTTACCTAGTGCAGTAGCTACATTGAACTTGCTGCATTGCTGTTTGTTTTCCTTGACTTTGACGATTTTTCCACAGTCAAGTCGCCAGTGCCGAGGAGCTCCCAGTGATGTCGCCAGAGGTTCCGCATTTGCTGGCAGGAAGCGCTGAAGCAGAAGCTGATGGAATGGCCCCGAAGCTGCAGTTTGGACGGAAGCGTGGCAGGTGGCGAATGGATCGGGAAGGGGTTTTGCTGTGGGAAGGACTGGCATTGCTTTGTTAATTGGTAAGGACATGAATTCTGAATGTATATAAAAGGGCAGAATTACATCATTTGTCATAGATGTTGAGGGTCTGTTCTTTTCTGTCACTCGAAGAAGTTGTGCCCAGGATTAGGAATGCTGTGACAAGAATGCGCAAGGTGCATGCAAACGAGCATGTTAGTGTTGCCACACTGTGTTGGTGAATAACCCCAAACCCGTATCGCTTTAGCACTATGAAGCCAACATGTACCGAAGCAGCACAAAGGGAAGACATCATTGACACCCTTTGACAGTGGAAAAAGACAAGAAAAAGAAGGTAAAGGTAAGGGCTCCATTTCAATTGGGCCTTCGTTTTTGCTCTCATGCTGATCGAAGCGAATCCACAGCGATGAAGGGCTTCCGCGCCAACAGTCAACACAATTATTGGTCAAAAGGGATCTCCAAGACAGAAGGGTGTCCTTTGCGCCCTTGCAAAATGCAAAGCACATGAGCTCAAGAACCGGGTTAGGCAACCAAACTTTGGCTCCATGAAAACACGTTTTGCTATTGTTCTTGTTGCGGAACTCCAAGTGCAATGGAGCTGCAATCATGTTCTTTAACTTACACGCTGCAAGCCCATCACGCAATACTTTGGCGCATGCATGGGGAGGGGCAATGACATTCTGTTCAAGGTCAAACAAAATCCTGCGAAGTGGGCAACAACTACCAACTCAAAGACAGAGCACGCAAGGCATTCTCCCAGGCGCCATTTCAAGGAATTGATGAACATCATAAATTTACGAGAATTGCCCTCTGTGAGTGTCCGCTTCGTTTTCGGAGGAGTAGAAGGATCGAGGTCAGCGGACCAGGTATGTTGCATTTCATCACTATCCCATGGCCACATGGGACAAAGACGAGGAAGCTGAGGAGGTGCTTCATCAACCTGCTGAAAGGGGCCTTATTAAAGGAACCCTCATTTTCTGTTCTTCTCTTCCTTCTTGAGCTGTTTTCCCTTTCTGATACCCTTTGACACCCTTTGATCCTCTTTGACCAGAAAATGGAACTCCATGCGGAGGTGACTTACTTCACTAGTTGGTCCTGGCGTTTTGCTTCCTGAGGTAGCTGTGGGCTTTGCTCAGCTTCTTTCCAAGGACACCTTCCTGCTTTTCAAACGGGTCTGGAAGCTGAGTTTCAAGCACTGTCAGGAACTGTGCCAAAGTGGATTGCCAGCGCAAGATCTGTCGTTGCAACCTGTGGAAGGCTGCGAGGGGACATCAGTAGACAGTGTACAGTATCCTCATCCCCCGTATTCTGTTGCTTTGCTGTTCCTCATACCTCAACTGCCCAAGCTTACAATTCGGAGCTATCAGATGTTTGAGACCTGTCAACTACGTAGGCAGTGCCTGCCGGCAGCTTGATCCAGTGGCAGTCGTTGCTTTACCATTTGCATTGCAGGCCTTCACTTGGAGGTGGAGCTAGAGCAGCCAACGGTCATGGAAGAGGCAGGGGCTGGCGGAGCATAATGAAGTCATAAGGTACTCGCATTTGGCCGGACACGACCCGTACCAGTAGAGTTTAATCCCTGGCAAGATACCAAAACGCAGAGTTGCTGCCTTTCCACTTACTCTCTTATTGTTTGAGAGTATTCCGAGAGTCACTGAGAAGAACGAGATTGCTTGATAGATCAACGTGCTACAAGGACTCCAGTACTTCAAGGATGCGCTCATGGTTGTTGACAGAGGTGAGCTCGACATGTATTGTTTGAGGATGCTGAAGGTAAGCAGAGGAATGACACATTCCGTTTCTTGCAAGGAACCAAGAACATAGTAATAATTGATATGTTATTTTATGTACACTTAATCAAGTATACTCTCAGTACTTCTTCGTTTGCACTCGTGGCCTATTGAATTTGCTTTGCAAGGAGGCCCTTGCACGGCGCCTCACAGGCCATGGTTCTGATGTGTTGTCTTGTGGCTTTTGTTGCCTTCCTACCCAAACCGCTTGCTTGAACAAGTAGCCTGTCAGTGGCGTGGTGTCGTCCAAGATAGATGAAGAACCTTCAGGCCTTTGAAGTTAAGTTTCCCTAAATCTAGGAACCAAATCATTAGTCCCAGAGCTTCCTTGAATTGATGATGCGTCCTACCTAGAAGCTAACTTAGCCTAGTAGCGAACTAGTTTCTCCCTTAGAGGAGCGGGCAACCAACAGATGATTTGTACCTCTTGTTTTGCGTGGCTGTGGGTTGGATGTTTCAGGTGCCGTCGATACTGACGACAGCCTCTTGGCAAATGAGCTCATGGAAGAACGATTCCTTGTGAATGCAGCTGCAGATGTTTGCCTGGCAACGTTTGTCTTTCGGAAGAATCGTCGGAGCACTTGCCAGCAATTTGAAGACGTGTCTTTGACCTAACCTAACACCCTTGCTTTGAGGTGATGCGGACACAAATCAGAGCGACACTACAGATGAGTGGGACTTGAGCAATTTCACAGGCCGCACATTGAACAAGGGCTTTCCTATGGCTTCCGCACGGGGTGCGCGTGACATTTCATATTAGTTCATTAAATAAGGCAGTTCTTCTTGGACACACTAAGCTGACAATGTGCGCAGGCGATGTGGCAGCGCAGATCAGCGGCCTCTTCCGCTTTAACTTGGCTGGAGCCAATGCGGGGCAGGCCCGTGGGGGGAGATGGAAACCAGAAACAATCCTTGCCTCCTTTCATCTTCACTTTCACCCCAGTAATTATGTGAGGGAGGATCTGGAATGACACATAATTTTGCTGATACAAATAGGCAATCAACAAGATGGATGAGAAAGAATAGTTGCACACATTCAGCAAGGAACATCCAGTAGCTAGTAACTAGTGACGGAGTGGATGGCTGGAAGGTGGGAGGAAAGCTGACAGGTAGGTAGACCAAGCTAGAAGCCAATATACAAACATGCAGGAGGAGACACTGAAGCAGACACATGTCATTATCAAAGTATTTGTGCACCAAGCACGGAGTGCGAACTGTAGACATGCCGCAGCCCTGTGTGGCAAAAACTATGACAGTGCCTTCACAATGCTATTCCAATTGACACTGTGTTGTGTTACTTGGGCAAGGGCAAGCTACTGCGAATGTCGCCAAGCACATTGATATGCTGTAATCATTTAAAGGAACGCGTTGGTGAACAGTTTGTAGTTCTTGCAATTGAGGTACGGCTGGCTGCAAAAAAATGCGCTGGCCGCAACCTTCGGCGTCAGTGTCAATGACATCAGCAACTTGCACTTAATCGACACGGAGGACTTTTGTTGAGTCAACTTCACCCGGAATCAATGGAATTAACGTTTATTCATAAAGGGAATCCATTCCTTTTCCTGAATCATTGTGGCATTGTTTTCAATTGAACGTGCCGTTAGACAAATCCACCGCATTTCCTTTTCCGAGCATTTCTTCGGTGCCAAAACCACCGCCGCTAGATCAAATCATGAAGTCATGGCAGAGTTGCACATGTCTATAATCACAACAAGGCATCTGAAACCCAGAAGGCTACAGTACTGAGGATTGGAAAAAGATACGGATACTTTTAGCTCCTTTCTTTTCATGGGCCTGGGCAAGGATGAGACAGGCGGCATCAAATTTGCGACTCAAGACTCAAGCAATTCTACTTGACCAGCTAGTTGCATTTATTTGCTCAGGTGTTGCGCTGAACGAGGGCAGGCGCCTAGCTTCTTCACGAAGCCTCTCATTTGCCTGGACTGCCATGCACTCAGTGGAAACATTTTAGAGTCACCACGAGGCAGACACATCTAATCATTAGTGCAGGGATGTCGAAAATCGAAGTGTCGTTGGTTTGATACAATTTCCATTGTATTAGTTGGATTACACCACATTGGTGTCCTTGTTGGCCAACTTGAGGTCACTTACCAGATCACCGTGCCGCTGGCATCCGCTCAGGCTGGGGTTTCCAAGATTATGTCCCAGACCTCACACAAGAAGCCTGGCAACTGCCGGACCTCACACCTTGAGAGCATCGCTACTAGGAGCGATCGGACGCTACTAGGGGCTCCTGGCCTTACTACTAGGAGCAAGAAGCTACTAGGAACAAAGGGCATCGCTACTAC